GTATGACAGGTGCCACAGGTGTGACAGGTGTCACCAGACAGGTGCCACAGGTGTGGCAAGTGTGACAAGTGGCATTAATAACAAGTGCCACAGGTGTGACAGGAACCACAGCTGTGACAGGTGGCATTAATGACAGCTGTGACAGGTACCACAGGTATGACAGGTACCACAGGTATGACAGGTGCCACAGGTATGACAGGTGCCACAGGTATGACAGGTGCCACAGGTGTGGTAGGTACCGCAGATGCCACCCCTGACAGGTGTGACAGGTGCCAGCCCACCAGGCGTGCCAGGTGTCCCCAGAGGTGTCCCCAGGTGTCCCCGGTGTCACTCCTGCCATGTGTCCCAGGTGTCCCCAATGTCCCCAGAGGTGTCCCCAGAGGTGTCACTCACCATCCTCTCCTCCCTCCTCCTCCACCTGGTCAGCCCAGCTGGGCTTGGAGCTGCGGGGACACGGCGGCCTCTGGGTCCCTGTGTCCCCTGTGCCACCACAGTGCCACCCCCAGTGTCCCAGTGTCCCCTCAGTGTCCCTGTCCCCCCTCAGTGTCCCGGTGTCCCCTCAGGGTCCCTGTGCCCCCTGTGCCACCCCCAGGCTCCCTGTGCCCCCTGTGCCACCCCAGTGCCACCCCCAGTGCCACCCTCGGGCTCCCTGTGCCACCTCAGTGCCACCCTCAGGCTCCCTGTGCCCCCCCCATGTGCCACCCCAGGTCCCGGTGTCCCCTCAGGGTCCCTGTGCCCCCTGTGCCACCCCCAGGCTCCCTGTGCCCCCTGTGCCACCCCAGTGCCACCCCCAGTACCACCCTCGGGCTCCCTGTGCCACCTCAGTGCCACCCTCAGGCTCCCTGTGCCCCCCCCATGTGCCACCCCAGGTCCCGGTGTCCCCTCAGGGTCCCTGTGCCCCCTGTGCCACCCCCAGGCTCCCTGTGCCCCCTGTGCCACCCCAGTGCCACCCCCAGTACCACCCTCGGGCTCCCTGTGCCACCTCAGTGCCACCCTCAGGCTCCCTGTGCCCCCCCCATGTGCCACCCCAGGTCCCGGTGTCCCCTCAGGGTCCCTGTGCCCCCTGTGCCACCCCCAGGCTCCCTGTGCCCCCTGTGCCACCCCAGTGCCACCCCCAGTACCACCCTCGGGCTCCCTGTGCCACCTCAGTGCCACCCTCAGGCTCCCTGTGCCCCCCCCATGTGCCACCCCAGGTCCCGGTGTCCCCTCAGGGTCCCTGTGCCCCCTGTGCCACCCCCAGGCTCCCTGTGCCCCCTGTGCCACCCCAGTGCCACCCCCAGTACCACCCTCGGGCTCCCTGTGCCACCTCAGTGCCACCCTCAGGCTCCCTGTGCCCCCCCCATGTGCCACCCCAGGTCCCGGTGTCCCCTCAGGGTCCCTGTGCCCCCTGTGCCACCCCCAGGCTCCCTGTGCCCCCTGTGCCACCCCAGTGCCACCCCCAGTACCACCCTCGGGCTCCCTGTGCCACCTCAGTGCCACCCTCAGGCTCCCTGTGCCCCCCCCATGTGCCACCCCAGGTCCCGGTGTCCCCTCAGGGTCCCTGTGCCCCCTGTGCCACCCCCAGGCTCCCTGTGCCCCCTGTGCCACCCCAGTGCCACCCCCAGTACCACCCTCGGGCTCCCTGTGCCACCTCAGTGCCACCCTCAGGCTCCCTGTGCCCCCCCCATGTGCCACCCCAGGTCCCGGTGTCCCCTCAGGGTCCCTGTGCCCCCTGTGCCACCCCCAGGCTCCCTGTGCCCCCTGTGCCACCCCAGTGCCACCCCCAGTACCACCCTCGGGCTCCCTGTGCCACCTCAGTGCCACCCTCAGGCTCCCTGTGCCCCCCCCATGTGCCACCCCAGGTCCCGGTGTCCCCTCAGGGTCCCTGTGCCCCCTGTGCCACCCCCAGGCTCCCTGTGCCCCCTGTGCCACCCCAGTGCCACCCCCAGTACCACCCTCGGGCTCCCTGTGCCACCTCAGTGCCACCCTCAGGCTCCCTGTGCCCCCCCCATGTGCCACCCCAGGTCCCGGTGTCCCCTCAGGGTCCCTGTGCCCCCTGTGCCACCCCCAGGCTCCCTGTGCCCCCTGTGCCACCCCAGTGCCACCCCCAGTACCACCCTCGGGCTCCCTGTGCCACCTCAGTGCCACCCTCAGGCTCCCTGTGCCCCCCCCATGTGCCACCCCAGGTCCCGGTGTCCCCTCAGGGTCCCTGTGCCCCCTGTGCCACCCCCAGGCTCCCTGTGCCCCCTGTGCCACCCCAGTGCCACCCCCAGTACCACCCTCGGGCTCCCTGTGCCACCTCAGTGCCACCCTCAGGCTCCCTGTGCCCCCCCCATGTGCCACCCCAGGTCCCGGTGTCCCCTCAGGGTCCCTGTGCCCCCTGTGCCACCCCCAGGCTCCCTGTGCCCCCTGTGCCACCCCAGTGCCACCCCCAGTACCACCCTCGGGCTCCCTGTGCCACCTCAGTGCCACCCTCAGGCTCCCTGTGCCCCCCCCATGTGCCACCCCAGGTCCCGGTGTCCCCTCAGGGTCCCTGTGCCCCCTGTGCCACCCCCAGGCTCCCTGTGCCCCCTGTGCCACCCCAGTGCCACCCCCAGTACCACCCTCGGGCTCCCTGTGCCACCTCAGTGCCACCCTCAGGCTCCCTGTGCCCCCCCCATGTGCCACCCCAGGTCCCGGTGTCCCCTCAGGGTCCCTGTGCCCCCTGTGCCACCCCCAGGCTCCCTGTGCCCCCTGTGCCACCCCAGTGCCACCCCCAGTACCACCCTCGGGCTCCCTGTGCCACCTCAGTGCCACCCTCAGGCTCCCTGTGCCCCCCCCATGTGCCACCCCAGGTCCCGGTGTCCCCTCAGGGTCCCTGTGCCCCCTGTGCCACCCCCAGGCTCCCTGTGCCCCCTGTGCCACCCCAGTGCCACCCCCAGTACCACCCTCGGGCTCCCTGTGCCACCTCAGTGCCACCCTCAGGCTCCCTGTGCCCCCCCCATGTGCCACCCCAGGTCCCGGTGTCCCCTCAGGGTCCCTGTGCCCCCTGTGCCACCCCCAGGCTCCCTGTGCCCCCTGTGCCACCCCAGTGCCACCCCCAGTACCACCCTCGGGCTCCCTGTGCCACCTCAGTGCCACCCTCAGGCTCCCTGTGCCCCCCCCATGTGCCACCCCAGGTCCCGGTGTCCCCTCAGGGTCCCTGTGCCCCCTGTGCCACCCCCAGGCTCCCTGTGCCCCCTGTGCCACCCCAGTGCCACCCCCAGTACCACCCTCGGGCTCCCTGTGCCACCTCAGTGCCACCCTCAGGCTCCCTGTGCCCCCCCCATGTGCCACCCCAGGTCCCGGTGTCCCCTCAGGGTCCCTGTGCCCCCTGTGCCACCCCCAGGCTCCCTGTGCCCCCTGTGCCACCCCAGTGCCACCCCCAGTACCACCCTCGGGCTCCCTGTGCCACCTCAGTGCCACCCTCAGGCTCCCTGTGCCCCCCCCATGTGCCACCCCAGGTCCCGGTGTCCCCTCAGGGTCCCTGTGCCCCCTGTGCCACCCCCAGGCTCCCTGTGCCCCCTGTGCCACCCCAGTGCCACCCCCAGTACCACCCTCGGGCTCCCTGTGCCACCTCAGTGCCACCCTCAGGCTCCCTGTGCCCCCCCCATGTGCCACCCCAGGTCCCGGTGTCCCCTCAGGGTCCCTGTGCCCCCTGTGCCACAGGTGTGACAGGTACCACTAATGACAGGTGTGACAGGTACCACAAATGACAGGTGTGACAGGTATGACAGGTACCACAGGTGTGACAGGTACCACAAATGACAGGTGTGACAGGTATGACAGGTACCACAGGTGTGACAGGTACCACTAATGACAGGTGTGACAGGTACCACAAATGACAGGTGTGACAGGTATGACAGGTACCACAGGTGTGACAGGTACCACAAATGACAGGTGTGACAGGTATGACAGGTACCACAGGTGTGACAGGTACCACTAATGACAGGTGTGACAGGTACCACAAATGACAGGTGTGACAGGTATACCACTAATGACAGGTGTGACAGGTACCACAAATGACAGGTGTGACAGGTATGACAGGTACCACAGGTGTGACAGGTACCACTAATGACAGGTGTGACAGGTACCACAAATGACAGGTGTGACAGGTATGACAGGTACCACAGGTGTGACAGGTACCACTAATGACAGGTGTGACAGGTATCATTAATGACAGGTGTGACAGGTATCACTAGTGACAGGTGTGACAGGTGGCATTAATGACAGGTGTGACAGGTATGACAGGTGCCACAGGTGTGACAGGTGTCACCAGACAGGTGCCACAGGTGTGGCAAGTGTGACAAGTGGCATTAATAACAAGTGCCACAGGTGTGACAGGAACCACAGCTGTGACAGGTGGCATTAATGACAGCTGTGACAGGTACCACAGGTATGACAGGTACCACAGGTATGACAGGTGCCACAGGTATGACAGGTGCCACAGGTATGACAGGTGCCACAGGTGTGGTAGGTACCGCAGATGCCACCCCTGACAGGTGTGACAGGTGCCAGCCCACCAGGCGTGCCAGGTGTCCCCAGAGGTGTCCCCAGGTGTCCCCGGTGTCACTCCTGCCATGTGTCCCAGGTGTCCCCAATGTCCCCAGAGGTGTCCCCAGAGGTGTCACTCACCATCCTCTCCTCCCTCCTCCTCCACCTGGTCAGCCCAGCTGGGCTTGGAGCTGCGGGGACACGAGGCGGCTCCGGACGGGACAGCGCGGGGACCTGCGGGGACAGAGGGGACACTGAGAGGGGACACTGAGGGGACAGCGCGGGGACCTGCGGGGACAGAGGGGACACTGAGAGGGGACAGGGAGGGGACCTGCGGGGACAATGGGGGGACAGTGAGGGGGGACAGGGAGGGGACAGGGAGGGGACAGGGAGGGGACACTGAGAGGGGACAGGGAAGGGACACCTTGGGGATGACTGCGGCAGTCACCCAGTGCTCACTCAGGGTCACTCAGGGGTCAGCAGTCACTCAGGGGTCACTCAGGGTCAGTGGTCACTCACTGGTCACTCAGGGGTCACTCAGGTTCACTCACTGGTCACTCAGGGTCACTGGTCTCTCAGGGTCACTCAGAGCCATCGGTCACTCAGGGTCACTGGCGGTCACTCAGGGGTCACTCAGGGGTCACTCACTGGTCACTCAGGAGTCACTCACGAGTCATTCAGATCACTCAGGGTCACTCACTGGTCACTCAGGGTCACTCACTGGTCACTCACTGGTCACTCAGGGTCACTCATCGGTCACTCAGGGTCACTGGCGGTCACTCACCGGCCGTGTCCTGGCGCAGCTTGGCCGCAGCGCAGGCCTTGATCTCCAGCCCGATGGCCTTGGCCAGGGGAGGCGGCACCGCATTGCCCACCTGGGGACACGGGGACAGCGTGACACAGGGACAGGGACAGAGTGACACAGGGACAGGGGGACAGGGACAGGGACAGGGGGACAGGGACAGGGGGACAGAGTGACACAGGGACAAGGACACAGGGAGAGAAGGACAGTGACAGAGGGAGAGGGACAGGGGCACAGAGACAGGGACGCAGGGACCCAGGGTTTTGTTGCACCGTGGGGGCTCAGGCAGCCCCAATTCCCTGGTTTTCACCCAAACCCCACAACATTCCCCTCGGGATCCGGCTCCTCTCCCGCCTGGGGCAGGCCCGGGGCCGGGCAGAGCCTTCTCCTCCCGGGGAGGAATTCGGGTGGATTCGCTCCAGGACTCGGCCCCCGCTGCTGCTGCTCAGCCCCGGGCAGCGGGATGCGCTGGAGATCCCGTTCCCGCTTTTCCAGGGAATCCCATCCCCGGCTGTCGGATCCCAGCGCGTCCCGGTTCCTCCCAGCACGGAGCTGCCCCGGGAGCAGCGGGAATTCCCAGGCTCAGGGACCAGGGTGTCCAGAGCCAGGGCGTGAATTCCATCCCCCTCGGCTGATTCCAGAGGTTCCCTCTCCTGGGAAACCCCTGGGATGGGCTCAGTGTGCGCTGGAGCAAAACCAGTTTGGGACTGGGACCAGTCTGGGATCAAACCGTTTCCTTCGCTCTCTTTCCAAGAATTAATTTTATTTTTCCAGTGGATCTGGAACAGGGAACGTTGAGGTTTGGATTGTTTGGGTTTGTCTTTTTTTTTTTTCCTTCCCTTGTGTCTGGATGCGTTCCCAGCCAAACACCGAAAATGAAATTTTTCTTCTTCTTCCCAGTGAGAAAATTCCTTCTTTTCTGGGCAGAAGCGCCGGGGTCGGGGTGGAACTGCCCCGATCCCCGATTTGGGAATGCAGAGCCGGGAGAAGAGGCTCAGGGGAAGGCTGGGATCGCTGCAGGGATCCCGCCCCGCTGGCTCCCGCACCCTGCGACCCCAAACGCTCGGGGGAAGGGAAGGGAGGAATTCCCGGCTGCAGGAAAGGGGGAGATGCCCAGGTCGGATCAGCTCCCGCTGGATCCGCGGCTGGATCCCGCCCCGGTGGTTTTTGGGTCCCGCGGTGCCCGCAGGTCTGCGGGAGGAGCCGGCAGCGGCTCTGGGGTCGCTGCCGCCCCCTTGTCAGGGTTCACTCGCTGGTCACTCAGGGGTCACTCAGAGCCATCGGTCACTCAGGGTCACTGGTGGTCACTCAGTGGTCACTCAGGGGTCACTCAGGGTCACTCACTGGTCACTCAGGGGTCACTCAGGGGTCACTCAGGGTCACTCAGGGGTCACTCAGGGGTCACTCACTGGTCACACAGGGTCACTCAATGGTCACTCAGGGGTCACACAGGGTCACTCACTGGTCACTCGTGGTCACTCAGGGGTCACTCAGGGGTCACTCACTGGTCACTCAGGGGTCACTCAGAGCCATTGGTCACTCAGGGTCACTGGTCACTCACTGGTCACTCAGGGGTCACTCAGAGCCATCGGTCACTCAGGGTCACTGGCGGTCACTCAGGGGTCACTCAGGGGTCACTCACTGGTCACTCAGGAGTCACTCACGAGTCATTCAGATCACTCAGGGTCACTCACTGGTCACTCAGGGTCACTCACTGGTCACTCACTGGTCACTCAGGGTCACTCATCGGTCACTCAGGGTCACTGGCGGTCACTCACCGGCCGTGTCCTGGCGCAGCTTGGCCGCAGCGCAGGCCTTGATCTCCAGCCCGATGGCCTTGGCCAGGGGAGGCGGCACCGCATTGCCCACCTGGGACAGGGGTGGCCGTTGGAGACCATCAAACCCAACCACTGGGACACGGTGGCCACTGGCCACCCCCAGCAGCCCCACCCAAGGTCTGGGCCAACGATGACCACCGGCCGCCCCCAGCCCCGCGCGCCGGCCGTGCCCGCGGCTCCGCGGCCCCACCTGCTTGCCCATGGGCTCGGGGTTGGTGACGGTGGTGCTGAAGAAGCCGTCCCACTCCAGGCGCCCGTAGAGCCCGGCCCAGTGGTTGTGCCGGTTGCCGGTGTGCGGGAGGCACCAGGGGATGAGCGTGTTGAACTGCCGGTCGGCCGGGTCGCACGGCTTCCCTGGCAAACGCCAAAAAACACCCGGAATTTCGGCACAAAGACAACGCCGGCCCACCTGGGGACGTGGTTACGGGGGGCCACCACGCACCTTCGGCGCAGGAGCAGACGCCGCGCAGGGCGCCGGAGCTGCTGCGGCCGTTCTTGCGCTCGTGGTGGGTGTAGCGCAGCTTGCGCGTGGTGGTGCCGTCCGAGAGCCGCACCTCGATGTTGGGCAGGTCCCGCCAGTCGGAGCCGGGCGCCAGCGGGATGTGCCGCATCCGCGCCGCCACCAGCGCGCTCATGTCCTGCCGCGGCCGGCCCGGCGTCACCGCGGGCCCGGCGGGGGCAGCGGGGGATGTTGGGCATCAATGGGGGGTGTTGGGCATCAATGAGGGGCGTTGGGCATCAATGGGGGACGTTGAGGGTGTTGGGTGTCAATGGGGGGTGTTGGACATCAGTGGGGGATGTTGGGTGTCAATGGGGGGAGTTGGGCACCAATGGGGGATGATGGGTATCAATGGAGGGTGTTGGACACCCATGGGGGACGTTGGGCACCAATAGGGGGTGTTGGGCATCAATAGGGGGTGTTGGGCACCAATGGGGGGTGTTGGGTGTCAATGGGGGGTGTTGGGTGTCAATGGGGGGCGTTGGACACCATTGGGGGGTGTTGGGCACCAAAGGGTGGCACGGGGCACCAATGGGTGGCACCGGGCACCACTGGGGGCGTTGGGCACCATTGGGTGGCACGGGGCACCAATGGGTGGCACTGGGCACCATTGGGGACGTTGGGCACCATTGGGTGGCACTGGGCACCATTGGGGACGTTGGGCACCATCGGGGAGGGTTGGTGCTCAGGGGACTCGCAGGGACAGGTGGCTCCCAGTGGATTCAGTGGCTCCCAAGGGATCCAGCCGATCCCAGAGCTCCCACCAGGCTCCCAGGGGACAATGGACAATGGGACAATGGACAATGGGACAATGGACAATCCCAAGGGATCCCAGAGCTCCCACCAGGCTCCCAGCCACCTCCACCATTCCCAAACCCACCATCCCCACCATTTCCCAGTATCTCCACCATCCCCACCACCTCCACCATTCCCAAACCCACCATCCCCACCACCTCCACCATTCCCAAAATCACCATTCCCAAGACATTCACCATTCCCAGTATCTCCAGCAGTTCCCAAAATCACCGTTCCCAAACCCACCATTCCCAAACCCACCATCCCCACCACTTCCACCATTCCCACCACCTCCACCATTCCCAAAATCACCATTCCCAAGACATTCACCATTCCCAGTATCTCCACCAGTTCCCAAATCCATCATTCCCAAACCCACCATTCCCACCACCTCCACCATTCCCACCATCCCCACCACCTCCACCATCCCCACCACCTCCACCATTCCCACGACTCCCCCATCCCGATTTCGGGCACGGCCGCCCCGGGAGGCCGCGGGGCCGCTGCGGTGGGACGCGGTGGGATCTGGTGGATCCCGTCCCCACCTTGCAGATGTGATCCCTGAGGATGGGCTGGTACTGGGAGCCGCGGATCTGCCGCTGGAACCACGACTGGGGCTCGCCGTTGTAGGAGATCTCCAGCGCCGAGGCGCCGTTGCGGATCTCGGGCAGGTCCGACATCGTGTCCCGCACCGTGATGGTGCGGAACGGGCCCGAGTACGTCCTGCGGGGACAGAATTCCCGACTCGGAACTTCCCACTCGGAGCTCCCAACTTGGAACTCCCAACTCGGAACTCCCAGCTTGGAACCCCCAACTCAGAATTCCCAACTCGGAACTCCCAGCTTGGAATCCCAGCTTGGAATTCCCAACTCGGAACTCCCAGCTTGGAGCCCCCAACTCGGAACTCTCAACACCAAAATCCCCAACTCGGAATTCCCCGCTTGAAACTTCCAACTCGGAACTGCGACTTGGAGCTCCCAACGCGGAACTCTCAACTCGTAACTCCCCACTTGGAACCCCAACTTGGAACTCCCAACTTGGAATTCCCAACTCAGAATTCCCAACTCGGAACTCCCCACTTGGAGCTCCCAACTCGGAACTTCCAACTCAGAATTCTCAACTTGGAACTCTCAACTCTGAACTCCCAACACCAAAATCCCCAACTCAGAATTCCCAACTTGGAACCCCAGCTTGGAATTCCCAACTCAGAATTCTCAACTTGGAACTCCCAACTTGGAATTCACCACTTGGAACTCCCAACTCGGAACTCCCAACATGGAATTCCCCACTTGGAACTCCCAACTCGGAACTCCCAACACCAAAATCCCCAACTCAGAATTCCCAACTCAGAACTCCCAACTTGGAACTCCTAACTTGGAACTCCCAACTCGGAATTCCCAACTTGGAACTCTCAACTCAGAACTCCCAACTCGGAATTCCCAACTTGGAACTCTCTACTCTGAACTCCCAACACCAAAATCCCCAGCTCAGAATTCCCAACTTGGAACCCCCAGCTTGGAACTTCCAACTCAGAATTCTCAACTTGGAACTCCCAACTTGGAATTCCCAACTCAGAATTCCCAACTTGGAACTCCTAACTTGGAATTCCCAACTCGGAACTCCCAACTCGGAATTCCCAACTCGGAACTCCCAACTCGGAATTCCCAACTTGGAACTCCTAACTTGGAATTCCCCACTTGGAATTCCCCACTTGGAACTCCCAATGTGGAATTCCCAACTCGGAACCCCCAGCTTGGAACTCCCAACTCAGAATTCTCAACTTGGAACCCCCAACTTGGAACTTCCAACTCAGAACTCCCAACTTGGAATTCCCAACCGGGAACTCCTAACTCGCAATTCCCCACTCGGAATCCCCAAGTGCTGAATTGCCAAACCGGAATTCCCGACACGAAATTCCCAACTCGGAATGGCCAAACTGGTATTCCCGACAGGAAATTCCCAACTCAGAACTGCCAAAGCGGAATTCGGAGGGGCAGTTCTGCCTTTGAGGGGCAGTTCCTGGAGGAACTGTGGTGGCCATGGCCATGTGGAGCCCTCATGGAGATGGGAATGTCCCCAGAGCCACCAGAGGGGACAGATCTGTCCTGGGAGGGACAGGTCCTGAGGGAACTGTGGTGGCCATGGCCATGTGGAGCCCTCATGGAGGTGGGAATGTCCCCAGAGCCACCCGAGGGGACAGTTCTGTCCTTGGAGGGGACAGTTCTGCCTTTGAGGGACAGTTCTGGCTTTGAGGGGACAGTTCTGCCTTTGAGGGACAGTTCCTGGGGGAACTGTGGTGGCCATGGCCTTGTGGAGCCCTCATGGAGGTGGGAATGTCCCCAGAGCCACCCGAGGGGACAGTTCTGTCCTTGGAGGGACAGTTCTGTCCTTGGAGGGGACAGTTCTGCCTTGGAGGGGCAGTTCTGCCTTTGAGGGGCAGTTCCTGGAGGAACTGTGGTGGCCATGGCCATGTGGAGCCCTCATGGAGATGGGAATGTCCCCAGAGCCGTGATGTTGCTGACGAACTTCTTGTCGTCCACCACGACGCTGAGCTGGCAGGCGCGGGGCGCGAACACGTGCAGGGGCTCGGGGAACATGGGCAGCTTCCCGCCCGCCGCCGCCGCCAGCACGATGGCGCGGCGCCGCGTCTGCGCCACGCCGTACTGCCCGGCCTGCGGGGACAACCGCGCCGGGACGTCACCGAGCGGGCACGGGGACAGGGCCACCAGGGGACAGATCTGTCCTGGGAGGGACAGGTCTGTCCTTGGAGGGACAGTTCCTGGAGGAACTGTGGTGGCCATGGCCATGTGGAACCCTCATGGAGGTGGGAATGTCCCCAGAGCCACCCAAGGGGACAGTTCTGTCCTTGGAGGGACAGTTCTGGCTTTGAGGGACAATTCCTGGAGGAACTGTGGTGGCCATGGCCATGTGGAACCCTCATGGAGGTGGGAATGTCCCCAGAGCCACCCAAGGGGACAGTTCTGTCCTTGGAGGGACAGTTCTGCCCTTGGAGGGGACAGTTCTGCCTTTGAGGGACAGTTCCTGGAGGAACTGTGGTGGCCATGGCCTTGTGGAGCCCTCATGGAGGTGGGAATGTCCCCAGAGCCACCCAAGGGGTCTTTGGAGGGAGTGGGCATGGCCCAAGAGGCACCCAAGGGGACAATTCCTGAGGGACAGGGGTGGGAATGGCCCCAGTCACCCTAGGGGACAATTCCTGAGGGACAGGGGTGGAGATGTCCCCAAAGCCACCCAAGGAGTCAATTCCTCCTTTGGAGAACCCGTCCCCTCTGGGAACGTCCCCAAAGCCACCCAAGGAGTCAATTCCCCCTTTGAAGGACCTGTCCCCTCTGGGAACGTCCCCAAAGCCACCCAAGGAGTCAATTCCCCCTTTGAAGGACCAAGTGACCAACCGGGAATTGGCCAATTCCCAAGTGACAACTTGTCTGGGAACGTCCCCAAGGAGCGACACGACCAACATTCCTCAGGGTGCCAAAAAAGGGTTTTTTGCCCCCAAAAGCAGCCCTGGAGACCCTACCTGGAGCACCCCGAAGGTGCACTGGTAGCCCATGCGCACCAGGCAGCGCAGGGTCAGCTTGAGCACCATGGACCTCTTGAAGGACACGAAATTCCGGACGTTCTCCAGCAGGAAGAAGCGCGGCCGGTAATAATCGCAGTAACTGCGGGGACAGCGGGACGTCGGCGTGGCCGGGGGACGTGGGGGGGTCTCACCCCAAAAATCCCCTCCATCGCCCCAAAAAATCACCTCCACACCCACCTTGGGACACCAGATGGGGTCTCACCCCAAAAATCCCCTCCATCGCCCCAAAAAATCCCATCCACATCCACCAGGAGACACCAGATGGGGTCTCACCCCAAAAATCCCCTCCACTGCCCCAAAAATCCTCTCCACATCCATGAGGGGACACCAGCTGGGGTCTCACCCCAAAAATCTCCTCTATTGCCCCAAAAATCCCCTCCATCGCCCCAAAAAATCCCATCCACATCCACCAGGAGACAACAGATGGGGTCTCACCCCAAAAATCTCCTCTATTGCCCCAAAAATCCCCTCCATCGCCCCAAAAAATCCTCTCCACATCCATGAGGGGACACCAGCTGGGGTCTCACCCCAAAAATCCCCTCCACGCCCATGAGGAGACACCAGATGGAGTCTCACCCCAAAAACCCCCTCCACACCCACCAGAGGACACCAGCTGGGGTCTCACCTCCCAAACCCCCCCCAGACCCACCAGGAGACACCAGCTGGGGTCTCACCCCAAAAATCCCCTCCATTGCCCCAAAAAATCCTCTCCACACCCACCAGGAGACACCAGCTGGGGTCTCACCCCAAAAATCCCCTCCATTGCCCCAAAAAATCCTCTCCACACCCACCAGGAGACACCAGCTGGGGTCTCACCCCAAAAATCCCCTCCATCACCTCAAAAAATCCCATCTGCAGCCATGAGGGGACACCAGATGGGGTCTCACCCCCAAAAATCTCCTCTATTGCCCCAAAAATCCCCTCCACACCCATGAGGGGACACCAGATGGGGTCTCACCCCAAAAACCCTCTCCATCACCCCAAAAAATCCATACCACATCCATGAGGAGACACCAGCTGGGGTCTCACCTCCCAGAAATCCCCTCCACACCCATGAGGGGACATCGGATGGGGTCTCACCTCCCAAAAAGCCCCCCCAGACCCACCTGAGGACACCAGCTGGGGTCTCACCCCAAAAATCCCCTCCATCACCCCAAAAATCCCCTCCATTTCCCCAAATAACCCCATCCACACCCACGAGGAGACACCAGCTGGGCTCTCACCTCCCAAAACCCCACCCAGACCCACGAGGGGACACCAGATGGGGTCTCACCCCAAAAATCCCCTCCACACCAATGAGGAGACACCAGCTGGGGTCTCACCTCCCCAAACCCCCCCCAGACCCACGAGGAGACACCAGCTGGGGTCTCACCTCCCAAAAGTCTGCTCCACACCCACCTTGCGACACCAGCTGGGGTCTCACCCCAAAAATCCCCTCCACACCAATGAGGAGACACCAGCTGGGGTCTCACCTCCCCAAACCCCCCCCAGACCCACGAGGAGACACCAGATGGGGTCTCACCCCAAAAACCCTTTCCATCATCCCAAAAATCCTCTCCACACCCACCAGAGGACACCAGCTGGGCTCTCACCTCCCAAAAATCCGCTCCACACCCATGAAGGGACACCACATGGGGTCACGCCCCAAAAAACAACCTCTTAACACCCACGAGGGGACGCCAGCTGGGGTCTCACCCCAAAAAACAACCTCTCCACACCCACGAGGCTCTCACCTCCCAAAAATCCCCTCCACACCCATCTTGGGACACCAACTGGGGTCTCACCTCCCAAACCCCCCCCAGACCCACCAGGAGACACCAGATGGGGTCTCACCCCCCAAAAAGCCCCCCCAGACCCACCTTGGGACACCAGCTGGGGTCTCACCCCAAAAATCCCCTCCACACCAATGAGGAGACACCAGCTGGGGTCTCACCTCCCAAAAGTCTGCTCCACACCCACCTTGCGACACCAGCTGGGGTCTCACCCCAAAAAACAACCTCTCCACACCCCCGAGGGGACGCCAGGTGGGGTCTCACCTCCCAAAAAGACCCCCCAGACCCACCTTGGGACGCCAGGTGGGGTCTCACCCCAAAAACCCACCTGAGGAAGGAGACCACCAGGGAGTTCTTGAACTTGGAGTAGGTGCGCGAGTTGAAGCGGTTCATGCCGCTGAAGCCCTGGCACGGGGGGCCACCACAGAGCATCTCCACGTCGCCCTTCTGGGGCAGCTTCTGGCCCAAGGCGTTGGTCCTCTCGCCGGCCATGACCAGCTTGAGCAGCACGTTGCAGTCCTCGGTGAACACCGTGGTGCCGGGGTTGTTGAGCCGGAACGCCTGCGCCGCCGGCTCCCACATCTCGATGGCCCACAGCGTCTCCGAGACCCCTGGGGGGGGCGGGGGTGGTGGGAGTGGGCACGGATGGGCACTGGGAACGGGCATGGATGGGCACTGGGAGTGGGCAGGGGTGGGCAGGGGTGGGCAGGGGTGGGCACTGGGATGGGCACTGGGAATGGGCAGGGATGGGCACTGGGGATGGATACTGGGAATGGGCAGGGATGGGCACTGGGATGGGCACTGGGAACGGGCAGGGATGGGCACTGGGATGGACAGGAGTGCATGGGAATGGGCAGGGATGGGCACTGGGATGGGCACTGGGAACGGGCAGGGATGGGCACTGGGATGGACACTGGGGTGGGCACTGGGAATGGGCAGGGATGGGCACTGGGGATGGACAGTGGGGTAGGTGGGAATGGGCAGGGTTGTATGGGAATGGTGAGGGATGGGCATTGGGATTGGGCATTGGGATGGGCATTGGGGATGGGCACTGGGAACGGGCATGGATGGGCACTGGGAGTGGGCAGGTGGGTGGAAATGCCCAGAGCTGGGTGGGGATGCCCAGAGCCAGGTGGGAATGCCCAGATCCAGGTGGGGATGCCCAGAGCCAGGTTGGAATGCCCAGAGCCAGGTTGGATCCCCCAGGGCCGGGCACGGGCACCGTCCATCGGGTTTGCCATCCCCCGTGGGACCCTCCCTGCCCCTGCCAGGCCCGGCCGTGCCCCCGCCCCGGGCACTGCCCTCACCTGCCTGGTGGAAGCCCTCGGAGAGGCCCCCGCAGCCGGAGAACACGTCCAGGGTCCTCAGCTTGGGCACGGGTGGCACTGCCAGCTGCTGCTGGCTCTGCTCCGCGCCCGCCGCCTTCCCCTTGCCCTTCCCTGCAGAGCGCCGGGCACGGCTCGGTCCTGCTCTTCCTCCTCCTGCTCCTCCTCCTCCTCCTCCTCCTCCTCCTCCTCCTCCTCCTCTCCTCCTCCTCCTCCTCCGCTCATCCTGCACCTCCCAGAGCTTTTCTGCCCCTTTTTTACCCATTTTATGCCCCTTTTTTACCCATTTCTGCCCCTTTTCTACCCATTTTCTGCCCCTTTTTCCAGCCCCTACCCCACTTCTTTTCCACCCCATTTTCTGCCCATTTTTACCCCATTTTTCTGCCCCTTTTTTACCCATCCTTTCCCTTTTCCCTTCCCCTTCCCTTTGTTCCCGGAGCTCCGGGCATGGTTGGGAGGATCCTCAAAGCTCTTGGTTTTGGCGTTGTAAGCCTGGAAAAAAACCCAAAAAATCCCCATTTCACCAGAATCCCCCATTTTTCACCATCCCTGGTGTCTCCAGACCTCCAGGAACTCATCCAGACCTCCAGGAACTCATCCAGACCTCCAGGAACTCATCCAGACCTCCAGGAACTCATCCTGACCTCCAGGAACTCATCCACAAACCCATCTCCTCCACATCAAACCCACCTGGAGACCCCAGAACCTCCCATTTTCACCATCCCTGGTGCCTCCAGACCTCCAGGAACTCATCCAGACCTCCAGGAACTCATCCAGACCTCCAGGAACTCATCCAGACCTCCAGGAACTCACCCACAAACCCAACTCCTCCATGTCAAACCCACCTGGAGACCCCAGCACCCCAACTTTGCTCCATCCCTGGTGTCTCCAGACCTCCAGGAACCCATCCAGGTCCTTGAAAACCCAGTGTAGTATCCAAAACTTATTCTCCAAAATTTCAGAACCGGCCCCAAATCCAACTCCTCCATGGAAAACCACCCAGAACCCCAACTTTGCTCCATCCCTGGTGTCTCCAGACCTCCAGGAACTCCTCCAGACCTCCAGGAACTCCTCCAGACCTCCAGGAACTCCTCCAGACCTCCAGGAACTCCTCCAGACCTCCAGGAACTCCTCCAGACCTCCAGGAACTCCTCCAGACCTCCAGGAACTCCTCCAGACCTCCAGGAACTCCTCCAGACCTCCAGGAACTCCTCCAGACCTCCAGGAACTCCTCCAGACCTCCAGGAACTCCTCCAGACCTCCAGGAACTCCTCCAGACCTCCAGGAACTCCTCCAGACCTCCAGGAACTCCTCCAGACCTCCAGGAACTCCTCCAGACCTCCAGGAACTCACCCACAAACCCAACTCCACCACGTCAAACCCACCTGGAGACCCCAGCACCCCCACTTTTCTCCCTCCCTGCTGTCCCCAGCCCCCTGGTCTCCCCGCACCCCTCACCTCCAGGAAGTAGAAGCGGTCGGGGCCGCCGGCCGAGTAGTCCTGGATGCTCTCGGGCAGGTCCTCGCCGTAGAGCACGGAGCAGCGGCCCTGCACCGCCCGGAACTCCACGGTGGCCTCCTCGTCGCTCCAGTAGAGCAGGTTGATGTCGGCATGGTAGCTCGCCTTGGTGGACTTGTGGGTGTTCTCGGGCCTGGAGGTGGCCGGGAGAACGGCGGGATTAGGGGAGGAACGAGGTGGGTTCTCCTCGAGGTGGGCTCTCCTCGAGGTGGGTTCTCCTCGAGGTGGGGTTGGCTGGAGAGGGGATTTGGGGTGGGATGGAGGGAAGGCTGGGAGAGGTTGAGGAAAATGGGGTTTAAGGGAGCTTGAGGCAGCAGGAGATGTCCAAAGATGGCACAAGATGTCCGAAGACCTCCCACGACATCCAAAGAAATTCAAGGACATCTCAAGACATCCAAAAATGTCCCAAAATATCCAAAGACCTCCCACGACATCCAAAGAATTCAAAGAAATTCAAAGACATCTCAAGACATCCAAAAATGTTCCAAAGTATCCAAAGATACAAAAAAAAAAAATCCAAGGATGTCCAAAGAAGTCCAAAGATATCCAAAGACATCTCAAGACATGGCAGAACATCCAAAAATGTCCCAAAATATCCAAAGATACCCAAAAAATTCCAAAGAAGTCCAAAGACATCCAAAGACATCCAAAGATGTCACAAGATGTCCAAAGACCTCCCACGATATCCAAAGAAGTCCAAACACATCCAAAGATATCTCAAGACATCTAAAAATGACCCAAAATATCCAAAGATACCAAAAAAATATCCAAAGATGTCCAAAGAAGTCCAAAGACATCTCAAGACATCTAAAAATGACCCAAAATATCCAAAGATACCAAAATAAAAATGCAAAGATGTCCAAAGAAGTCTAAAGACATTCAAAGACATCTCAAGACATGGCAGGACATCCAAAAACGTCCCAAAATATCCAAAGATACAAAACAAAAAAAAAAAATTCCAAAGGCATCCAAAGAAGTCCAAAGAAATCCAAAGACTTCTCAAGATACGCCAGGACATCCAAAAACATCCCAAAATATCCAAAGATACAAAAAAAACCCCCCAAAGAAGTCCAAAGACATCAAAAGACATCTCAAGACATGGAAGGACATCCAAAAATGACCCAAAATATCCAAAGATACCCCAAAAAAATTCCAAAGATGTCCAAAGAAGTCCAAAGACATCTCAAGACATCTAAAAACGTTCCAAAGTATCCAAAGATACCAAAAAAATATCCAAAGATGTCTAAAGAAGCCAAAAGACATCCAAAGATATCTCAAGACATGGCAGGACACCCAAAAATGTCCAAAATATCCAAAGACCTCCCACGACATCCAAAGAATTCAAAGAAATTCAAAGATATCTCAAGACATGGCAGGACATCCAAAAACGTCCCAAAATATCCAAAGATACCCCAAAAAAATTCAAATATGCCCAAAGAAATCCAAAGACATCCATAGACATCTCAAGACGTGCCAGGACATCCAAACATGTCCCAAAATATCCAAAGATACCCCAAAAAAATTCCAAAGATGTCCAAAGAAGTCCAAAGACATCCAAAGACATCTCAAGACATGGCAGAACATCCAAAGATGTCCTAAAATATCCAAAGATACCAAAAAAATTCCAAAGATGTCCAAAGAAGTCCAAAGACATCTCAAGACATCCAAAAAGTCCCAAAATATCCAAAGATACCCCTCAAAAAATCCAAATATGTCCAAAGAAGTCCAAAGACATCCGAAGATGTCCCATCAGGACCATCCAACTCCATGGACTTCTACCCCAATTCCCGGCACTGCTCACGCCACCGACCCCAAATCCTCACCAATTTTGGGAGCATTTTCCCAACTTTGGAAACCCTCAAAAATCCAAAGATGTCCAAAGAAGTCCAAAGACATCCAAAGATGTCCCATCAGGACCATCCAACTCCATGGACTTCTACCCCAATTCCCGGCACTGCTCACGCCACCGACCCCAAATCCTCACCAATTTTGGGAGCATTTTCCCAACTTTGGAAACCCTCATGGATTTGGGGACAAAATTCCCGATTTTGAGGTCAACTTTGGGACAATCCTTCCAATTTTGTGAGAATTTTTCCAACTGGGAAGGTCCAACAAGGATCATCCAAGTCGGGAAGTCAACCAAGACCCTCCAAAGATTTGGGCCAAACCACATCAAGCCCTGCTTTCACCACCAACTCCAAACCTTCCCAGACCCCCAAAACGCCCCCAAACCCCCTGGATTCGGCACCTGTAGAACTTGTAGATGCAGAGCTTGATGTCGGCCTCGTTGGGTTTGCCGTTGCCGCGCAGGCTGCAGAAGATGCTCTTGATGCGGCCCACGCGGAACGGGTCGGGCGCGTCCAGGTTGCTGCCCTTGATGTACTCCGAGTACTTGCGGTAGTGCTCGGGGTGCAGCTCCTCGTCCACCGCCTCCTTCTTGGGCCTCTTGGCCGGGCTGGCCGGCTTCACGCTGGGGGATCGGGGAAAACGTCCCAAAAACGTCCCAAAAACGCAAAAAAAAGTCCCAAAAACGTCCCAGAAACCTCCCAAAAATGCCACAAAAACGTCCAAAAAAGTCCCAAAAAACGCCCCAAAAACGTCCCAAAAAATGTCCCAAAAACATCCCAAAAACGTCACAAAAACGCCCCAAAAACGTCCCAAAAATGTCCGAAAAAAAGTCCCAAAAACGTCCCCAAAAATGTCCCAAAAAACGTCCCAAAACCGCCCCAAAAATGGCCAAAAACCGTCCCAAAAACGTCCCAAAAATGTCCCAAAAAAGTCCCAAAAACGCCCCAAAAATGTCCCGAAAATGTCCTGAAAACGCCCCAAAAACCATCCCAAAAACGCCCCAAAAACATCCCAAAAATGGTCCCAAAAATGCCCCAAAAAAGTCCCAAAAATGCCCCAAAAAACGTCCCAAAAACGCCCCAAAAACGGTCCCAAAAATGCCCCAAAAAAGGTCCCATAAATGCCTCAAAAAACGTCCCAAAATTTGGGTGAAGATTTGGAATTGAAGGATCTTGGAAGGGTTTTCCAGCCTTGACCCCAATTTTTTTGTCAAAAGTTGGGTGAGAAGTTGGAATTGAGGGATCTTGGAAGGGTTTTCCAGCCTTGACCCCAATTTTTTTGTCAAAAGTTGGGTGAGAAGTTGGAATTGAGGGATCTTGGAGGGGTCTCCAAACCTTAATGAGTTCTATAATTCCATAATTCCAATTTGTCCACCAAAAGTTGGGTCAAGATTTGGAATTAAGGGGTCTTGGAAGGGTCTTCCAACCTTGATTCCAATTTTTTTTTTCTCAAAAGTTGAGTGAAAAGTTGGAATTGAGGGATCTTGGAAGGCTTTGCCAGCCCTGACACCAAAAGTTGAGTGAAAAGTTGGAATTGAGGGATCTTGGAAGGCTTTTCCAGCCTTGACACCAAAAATTGGGTGAAGGTTTGGAATTGAGGGGTCTTGGCTGGGTCTCCTAACCTTAACTGGTTCTATGATTCCATAATTCCAATTTGTCCACCAGAAGTTGGGTGAAGATGCGGAATCAAGAGATCTTGGAAGGGTTTTCCAACCTTGACTCCATTTTTTTTTGTCAAAAGTTGGGTTAAGAGTTGGAATTGAGAGATCGTGGGGAGGTTTTAGAGCCTCAACTCCGTAATTTCAATTTATCCCCCCAAAATCCCCAAATCCCAGCCCAAGGGTGAGGTCCCCAAGCCCACCTGAAGGAGAAGGCGTCGGGCAGCAGGTAGACGCCGTCCCCCACCCGGTACTGGACGCCGTTCTTGGTGGCCACGGCGTAGAACATCTTGCCGTCGGCCTCCTCCAGCGGCTCGGCCACCTTGGGGATCTCCTTGTGCCTCACCTCGTCCAGGCGCGCGCAGCTCAAGCAGAACCTGCCGGAACACCACCACGTTCTCCAAAAAAAATCCATTTTTGGGGCGGGAAGAACCCAAAATTTTGGTTTTTCCACCCAAAAACGGACTTGTACTTGTTGTCCTCGGTGGGCTGCGCGTCGGGCGGGCTCTCGAAGCGCGCGTACTCCTGGTCGTACCACATCTGGTAGAAGTAGGTCCTCCCATCGTCTTCCACCATCTTGATCTCCGTGTCCAGCCCGCCCTGAAGGACAAAACCAGCGGGGTGGCCGCGATCGGCGGCGCCGACCGGCACCGGCCGGACCCGCGGCGCTGGCCCCACCTCCATGGCCCAGTTGTCCGAGGGCGCCTTGTAGATGACGTTGACCTTGCCGTGGATGTAGGACAGCTGCATGTCCTCGCACTCGTCCACCAGGAACAGCTCCAGGGGGTCCGAGGTGGCCCCCAGGACGGTGTCCGAGCCCGGGCAGAACCAGTGGGCATGGAACATCTGGCCACTGCTGTCCTCCCACATGGCCGTCACCCTGAGGGGCAGGAGGTGTGAGAGGGGACGTCCCCGTGTCCCCAAGCCCATGGGAGCAGGGAGAACCCAACCAGATTGGTGGGACCATTGGAGATGTCCCCATATCCCCAACCCCATGGGTGAAAGGAGAACCCACCTGGCTTGGTGGCAGCATTGGAGATGTCCCCAACCCCATGGGAGCAGGGAGAACCCACCAGGCTTGGTGGGATCATCAGGGACATCCCATGTCCCCAACCCCATGGGTGCAAGGAGAACCCACCAGGCTTGGTGGGATCATCAGGGATGTCTCCAACCCCATGGGAGAATGGAGAAACCACCAGGCTTGGTGGGATCATCAGGGATGTCTCCAACCCCATGGGTGCAAGGAGAACCCACCAGGCTTGGTGGGATCATCAGGGACATCCCATGTCCCCAACCCCATGGGAGCAGGGAGAACCCACCAGGCTTGGTGGGATCATCAGGGGATGTTGCCACATCCCCAGTCCCATGGGAGCAGAGAAAACCCACCTGGCTCGGTGGGATGATCGGGGACATCCCCTGTTCCCAACCCATGGGAGAATGGAGAACCCACCTGGCTTGGCGGGATCATTGGAGATGTCCCCATGTCCCCAACCCCATGGGTGCAAGAACCCACCAGGCTTGGTAGGATCATCAGGAACATCCTCTGTTCCCACCCCATGGGAGAATGGAGAGCCCACCAGGCTTGGTGGGATCATTGGAGATATCCTCATGTCCCCAACCCCATGGATGCAAGGAGAACCCACCAGGCTTGGTAGGATCATCAGGAACATCCTCTGTTCCCACCCCATGGGAGAATGGAGACCCACCTGGCCAGGTAGACGGTCTTGGTAGGGATGTCCCCGTGTCCCCACCCCTGTGGGAACACGGAGGACTCACCTGGCCAGGTAGAGGGGCTTGGTGGGGTCGTCGGGGCTCTCCATGGAAGAATGAAGAACACACCTGACTTGGTGGGATCATTGGGGTTGTCCTCAACCCACGGGAGAATGGAGAACCCACCAGGCTCGGTGGGAGCATTGGAGATGTCCCCAACACCACGGGAGAATGGAAAACCCGCTTGGCTTGGTGGGATCATCAGGGATGTCCCCATATCCCCAACCCCATGGAGAACGGAGAACCCACCAGGCTTGGTGGGATCATCAGGAACATCCTCTGTTCCCACCCCATGGGAGAATGGAGACCCACCTGGCCAGGCAGAGGCTCTCGGTGGGGATGTCCCCATGTCCCCACCCCTGTGGGAACATGGAGGACTCACCTGGCCAGGTAGAGGGGCTTGGTGGGGTCGTCGGGGCTCACGGACACGCAGTCGCCCACCTCCAGGGTCTCGGAGTCGATGCAGACGCGTTGGTAATAATCCTTCTTGCCGTCGCTCTGCCGGGGCACGGGGCCGTTACAGGTGCCGGCCTCACCTGGATGGGGCCTTCACCTGGATGGGGCCCTCACCTGGATGGGGCCCTCACCTGGATGGGGCCCTCACCTGGATGGGGCCCTCACCTGGATGGGGCCCTCACCTGGATGGGGCCCTCACCTGGATGGGGCCCTCACCTGGATGGGGCCTTCACCTGGATGGGTTCCCCTCACCTGGACACGTCCCCTCACCTTTCCAGGCCCCCTCACCTGCCCAGGTGCCTCACCTTGATGGGCTCCCCGACCCAGGAGATCCGGCTCTTGTTCTGCTTCTTCTTGCGGCCCTGCAGCATCTTCTTGGGCGAGGGCATCTCGGGGATGTTGTCATCGACCTCCTCGTCCTCGTCCGCCTCCCGCACCGCCAGGTTGGGACACCTGGGACGTCACCAGGGACGTCACCGGGGGCTCAGGGATGGGGACACTGGGGACAGGGACCTTGGGGACAGGGCCACCCACCTCCTCTGCAGACACGCCTGCTTGCTGCGGCCGCTGCCCCCGAACTTGACCATGTTCTGGCACGCCTTGCACTTGCCACACTCGGGCTGCTGGCACACCTGGCACGGGACAGGGGACACCGGTGACACCAGGAACGCTCCTCCACGATCAACTCAACCAACTCGTGATGTTGATGTCGACCAAGGTTGGAAGATCTTCCAAAACCAACCAACCCAACCCATGACATTGGCGTTGACCAAGGCTGGAAAAGCCCTCCAAGATCAACCCAACCTATGACAGTAACATTGACCAAGATTGGAAAACTCTCCAAGATCAGCCAACCCAACCCATGACGCTGATGTTGACCAAGACTGGAAGAGACCTTCAAGACAAACAAGCCAACCCATGACGCTGATGTTGGCCAACACTGGGAGTCCTTCAAGACCAACCAATCCAACCCACGACGCTGATGTTGGCCAACACCGCAAGTCCTTCAAGACCAACCAACCCAACCCATGACCTTGATGTTGGCCAACACTGGGAGTCCTTCAAGACCAACCAATCCAACCCATGATGCTGATGTTGACCAACACTGGGAGTCCTTCAAGACCAACCAACCCAACCCATGATGCTGATGTTGGCCAACGCTGGGAGTTTTTCAAGACCAACCAACCCAACGCAAGACATTGACATTGACCAAGATTGAAAGACCCTCCAACACCACCCCATCCCCGCCCCACCACTGGTGACCCTTCTTAGGAGGATCTTCCCAATTTTGGGAGGGTTTTTGTGATCTTGGGAGGATCTTCCCAATTTTGGGACAATCTCCCAGTTTTGGGAGGATCTTCCCAATTTTGGGAGAATTCTCCCAGTTTTGGGAGGATCTTCCCAATTTTGGGAGGGTTTCTGTTCTGATTCCCAGCACTTCTCATGCCACTGAACCCAAATCCTCACCAGTTTTGGGAAGATTTTCTCGATTTTGGTTGGATTCTCCCAATTTTGTGGGCACAGAACCCAAACCCTCCCCAATTCTGGGCAAATTCTCTTACTTTTGAGGTCCCACTTCCCAAATTTTGGTTGGATTTTCCCAATTTTGGGGTTTTTGCCCCCAGACCTCACCTCCTGCCCAGGGTGACCTCACCCAACTTGATGAGGTCCCTCATGCCCAGCATGAGAATCCCCAATTTTGGGCAGATTTCCCCAATATTGAGACCCCAGAGCCCAAACCCTCCCAGATTTTGGTCGGATTTTCCCGATTCTGGGTTTTTTGCCCCCAAACCTCACCTCTTGCCCAGGGTGACCCCGGCCAGCTTGATGAGGTCCCTCATGCAGGGCGTGATGAGCACCGGGGGCTCGTCGCTGTCGCCGGCCTCATCGTAGCTCTCCACCTGCTCCACCACGAACTGCGCGTGGCGCAGCAGCGAGTCCTCCGTGAAGCGGTTGAAGTTGAGCCCCGCCGGCGGCACCGTGGTCTGGGGGAATTTCGGGAGGGTTGGAGATGGCCGGGAATGGCAGCTGACCCCTCCCCAGATCGCCCATTCCAAAGGTCATCAAGTTGGGAATGGTTTGAAGGGCTGGAGATGGCCAGGAATGGCAGCTGACCCCTCCCCAGATCGCCCATTCCAAAGGTCATCACGTTGGGAATGGTTTGGGATGGTTTGGAATGGTTGGGGATGGCCGGAGATGGTTTGGAATGGTTGGGGATGGTTGGGGATGGCCGTTGACCTCTCTCCAGACCACCCATTCCAAAGGTCACCAAGGTTGGGGATGGCTGGGAATGGTTGGAAAGGGTTGGAGATGGTTGGAGATGGTTGGGGATGGTTGGGAATGGTTGGGGATGGCCGTTGACACCTCTCCAGACCACCCATTCCAATGGTTGGGAATGGTTGGGATGGGTTGAGATGGTTTGGAATGGTTTGGGATGGTTGGAACGGGTTGGAGATGGCTGGGGATGGGTTGGGATGGTTGGGAATGGTTGGAAAGTGTTGGAATGGTTGGGAATTATTTGGGATGGCCGTTGAGCCCTCTCCAGACCACCCATTCCAAAGGTCACCAAGACTGGGAAAGGTTGGGAAGGGTTGAGATGGTTGGAAAGGGTTGGAGATAGTTGGGAATGGTTGGGAAGTGTTGGAGATGGTTGGGAAAGGCTGGAAAGAGTTATGGTTGGGGATGGTTGGGAATGGTTGGAAAGGGTTGGAGATGGTTGGAGATGGTTGGGGATGGTTGGGAATGGTTGGGGATGGCCGTTGACACCTCTCCAGACCACCCATTCCAATGGTTGGGAATGGCTGGGATGGTTGGAACGGGTTGGAGATGGTTGGGGATGGGTTGGGATGGTTGGGAATGGTTGAAAAGTGTTGGAATGGTTGGGAATTATTTGGGATGGCCGTTGAGCCCTCTCCAGACCACCCATTCCAAAGGTCACCAAGACTGGGAAAGGTTGGGAAGGGTTGAGATGGTTGGAAAGGGTTGGAGATAGTTGGGAATGGTTGGGAAGTATTGGAATGGTTGGGGATGGCTGGAGATGGTTGGGAATGATTTGGAATGGTTCGGGATGGCCGTTGACCCCTCTCCAGATCACCCATTCCAATGGTTGGGAATAGCTGGGAAAGGTTGAGATGGTTTGGAAGGGTTGGGGATGGTTTCAAGTGGTTTGGAATGATTGGGAAGGGTTGAGATGGTTTGGAATGGTTGGGAATGGTTTGGAATGGTTGGGAATGGCTGGAACGGGTTGGAGATGGTTGGGGATGGGTTGGGATGGTTGGAATGGTTGGAAAGTGTTGGAATGGTTGGGAATTATTTGGGATGGCCGTTGAGCCCTCTCCAGACCACCCATTCCAAAGGTCACCAAGACTGGGAAAGGTTGGGAAGGGTTGAGATGGTTGGAAAGGGTTGGAGATAGTTGGGAATGGTTGGGAATGGTTGGAGATGGTTGGGAACGGTTGGAAAGAGTTGGAAAGGGTTGGAGATGGTTGGGAATGGTCATGAAGGGTTGAGATGGTTTGGAATGGTTGGACGTGGAATGGTTTGGAATGGTTTGGAATGGTTGTGAAGGGGGTGGGGATGACCACAACAGTGACACTGTCACCTCGACCTCGCTGAGCTGGTGCCACCTCCACCACCATCTCACCACCATCTCACCACCATGTCACCACCTCCTCCTCCTGCTCCTGACCCCAGTATTGGAATGGTTGGGGATGGCTGGAGATGGTTGGGAATGATTTGGAATGGTTCGGGATGGCCGTTGACCCCTCTCCAGATCACCCATTCCAATGGTTGGGAATAGCTGGGAAAGGTTGAGATGGTTTGGAAGGGTTGGGGATGGTTTCAAGTGGTTTGGAATGATTGGGAAGGGTTGAGATGGTTTGGAATGGTTGGGAATGGTTTGGAATGGTTGGGAATGGCTGGAACGGGTTGGAGATGGTTGGGGATGGGTTGGGATGGTTGGGAATTATTTGGGATGGCCGTTGAGCCCTCTCCAGACCACCCATTCCAAAGGTCACCAAGACTGGGAAAGGGTTGAGATGGTTTGGAATGGTTGGGAATGGTTGGAAAGGGTCGGAGATGGTTGGAGATGGTTGGGGATGGTTGGGAATGGTTTGGAATGGTTGGAAAGGGTCGGAGATGGTTGGGGATGGTTGGGAATGGTTTGGAATGGTCGGGAAGGGTTGAGATGGTTTAGAATGGTTGGGAATGGTTGGAAAGGGTTGGGGATGGTTTGGAATGGTTTGGAATGGTTGTGAAGGGGGTGGGGATGACCACAGTGACACTGTCACCTCGACCTCGCTGAGCTCACCACCATCTCACCACCATGTCACCACCATGTCACCACCATGTCACCACCTCCTCCTCCTGCTCCTGACCCCATCCCATCTTTTCCACAGGGGAACTGTCCCCAGGATGGGGAGGTGACACCGCAGGGAGGTGACACCATGGGAAGGTGACACCACAGGGAGGTGACACCACAGGGAGGTGACACGGCGGCGGCGCTGTCACCTCGATCTTGTTGAGCAGGTCCTCGTAGCTGACGTGGCGGTTGTTCTGCAGGAACTCCACCACGATCTTGCTCATGTAGATCTTCTCCTGCATCAGCGCGAAGGTCGGTGCGTACTCCTCGCTCGGCTCCATCAGGATGTAGTCGGCAAAGGCTGCGAAAAACCCAAAATTGGGGGGTTTGGGGGAAAAATGGGGGGTTTGGGTAGGGGAGAGGAAGGGAATGGGGGAAAGAGGAGGAAAAAGGAGAAGGGAAAGGAAAAGAGGAGGAAAAGAGAGAAAAAATAACGGGAAAATGAGGAAAAGGGGAGGAAGAAAATAAGGGGGAAAGAGCAGGAAAAAGGAAAGAGAAAAGGAAAAGGAAAAGGAAAAGGAAAGGAAAGGAAAGGAAAGGAAAGAAAAGAAAAGAAAAGAAAAGAAAAGAAAAGAAAAGAAAAGAAAAGAAAAGAAAAGAAAAGAAAAGAAAAGAAAAGAAAAGAAAAGAAAAGAAAAGAAAAGAAAAGAAAAGAAAAGAAAAGAAAAGAAAAGAAAAGAAAAGAAAAGAAAAGAAAAGAAAAGAAAAGAAAAGAAAAGAAAAGAAAAGAAAAGAAAAGAAAAGAAAAGAAAAGAAAAGAAAAGAAAAGAAAAGAAAAGAAAAGAAAAGAAAAGAAAAGAAAAGAAAAGAAAAGAAAAGAAAAGAAAAGAAAAGAAAAGAAAAGAAAAGAAAAGAAAAGAAAAGAAAAGAAAAGAAAAGAAAAGAAAAGAAAAGAAAAGAAAAGAAAAGAAAAGAAAAGAAAAGAAAAGAAAAGAAAAGAAAAGAAAAGAAAAGAAAAGAAAAGAAAAGAAAAGAAAAGAAAAGAAAAGAAAAGAAAAGAAAAGAAAAGAAAAGAAAAGAAAAGAAAAGAAAAGAAAAGAAAAGAAAAGAAAAGAAAAGAAAAGAAAAGAAAAGAAAAGAAAAGAAAAGAAAAGAAAAGAAAAGAAAAGAAAAGAAAAGAAAAGAAAAGAGAAAAGAAAAGAAAAGAAGGAAGGCAAAAGAGAAAGAAAGAAAGAGAAAAAAGGAAAAGAAAGAAAGAAAGAAAGAAAGAAAGAAAGAAAGAAAGAAAGAAAGAAAGAAAGAAAGAAAGAAAGAAAGAAAGAAAGAGAAAGAAAAAGAAAGAAAGAAAAAAAGGAAAGAGAAGAAAACAGAAGAAAAGACAGAAAAAAGATGGCAAAAAGAGAGAATCAAGAAAAAGAGAAAACAAAAGAAAACAAGAAAAACCAGAAAAACAAAATAAGAAAGAATGAGAAAATGGAGAAAAAAAGAAGAAAAGAAAACGGAAAAAAGGGGGAAAAGGAGGAGAAAGGGAGAAGAAAGGAAAAGGGAGAAAAAGGAGGAGAAAGGGCAAAACCCTTGAATCCCTTCCCCCAAAAACCTCAAAAAAAGCCCAAAATAACCCCCCAGGATGTCAGCACCGACCTTCTCCTCCAGCTCCTCCTCCTCCTTCTCCACGTTCATCAGCTCCGGCTTCACCTCCCCGTTGACCTCCTCCGATTTCCGCTTGTTGGATCTGCGGGATGGAGCCGGGACGGGGTTTTTTGGGAATGGGGAAGGGTTTGGGATGGCGGGATGAGGAAGAGGAGGGTGACCCTTCCCACTGACCCTTTGGACAGGAGGCTGAGGATGGTCGGCTGCCGGCCGGAGCTGCGGGTGACGCGGGAGCTGGCCGGAGACTCTGCGGGAAAAGCACGGTGGATCCCAAATCCCAACGGGAATTGTCCCAGCCCAAGGTGAGGAGACCCCAAAACCCTTCCTGAAGAGACCCTAAAACCCTTCCCAAGGGACCCCAGCTCTCAATCCCAATGGGAATTGTCACATTCCAAGGTGAGGAGACCGCAAAACCATTTCAAAGGTGATCCCAACTCTGAATCCCAACAGGAATTGTCACACCCCAAAGGCAGGAGACCCCAAAACCCTTCCTGAGGAGATCCCAAAACCCTTCCCAAGGTGATCCCAGCTCTCAGTCCCAATGGGAATTGTCACATTCCAAGGTGAGGAGACCCCAAAACCCTTCCTGAGGAGACCCCAAAACCCTTCCCAAGGGATCCCAGCTCTCAATCCCAATGGGAATTGTCACATTCCAAGGTGAGGAAAACCCCAAAACCCTTCCCAAGGGGATCCCAGCCCTCAATCCACCCCCCAGAAACCCCCGATTCCACCCCAAAACCCCCCGGAAACCCCAAACCCTTACTTCTGGCGTCTCCGTTGGAGCGGCTCCGGCGGGATTTCCGCGCCCGCGCGGCGGGGCCGGGGCAGGACGGGGACGAGGACGCTGCCACGCCCTCCTCGAGCTCCATGGCCGCGTCGTCGTCGTCGTCGCTGCCGGAGGCGCCGTTCCCGGGGCACCCGTTGGGGTTGGGGGCCCCGGAGCCATTGGGGGCCGAGAGCTCCTGGCGCAGCAGCGCCTTCACCTTGGCCAGGTAACGCTCCTGGGGAAGGGAGCACCTGGAGCTGAGCCCCAAATCCTGGGGAGTCGTGATCCCAAATCCCACAGGGAGTCGTGATCCCAAATCCCATATGGATTTGTGATCCCAAATCCCACAGGGAGTTGTGATCCCAAATCCCACAGGGAGTCGTGATCCCAAACCCCACAGGGAGTCGTGATCCCAAATCCCACAGGGAGTCGTGATCCCAAATCCCACAGGGAGTCGTGATCCCAAATCCCATATGGATTTGTGATCCCAAATCCCACAGGGAGTTGTGATCCCAAATCCCACAGGGAGTCGTGATCCCAAATCCCACAGGGAAATGGGGGCTGAGCCCAAATCCCACAGTGTGATCCCAAATCCCACAGGGATTCGTGATCCCAAATCCCACAGGGAAAGTGGGGGCTGAGCAAAGTCCCAGGGTGTTCCTGGTTTCCTGGTGTTGTATCCCAAATCCTGGTGTTTTACCCCCAAATCCTGGTGTTTTACCCCCAAATCCTGGTGTTTTACCCCCAAATCCTGGTGTTTTATCCCAAATCCTGGGCTTTTCCCAGAGTTCTCCAGGTGTTTTACCCCAAATCCTGGGCTTTTCCCAGAGTTCTCCAGGTGTTTTACCCCAAATCCTGGGGTGTTCCTGGTTTCCTGGTGTTGTATCCCAAATCCTGGTGTTTTACCCCCAAATCCTAGTGTTTTACCCCCAAATCCAGGTGTTTTATCCCAAACCCTGGGCTCTTCCCAGAGTTCTCCGGGTGTTTTACCCCAAACCCCAGGGTGTTTTAGGCTTTCCCAGGTGTTTCAGCCCCACCCCAGGCCCTGGGTCTCACCTCCGAGAGCTCCTCGCGGCGCAGTTTGGCCTCGAGCTCGCTGAGCTGCAGCTGCACCTCGGCCTGCAGGAAGCCGTGGATGAGGCTCAGCTTCTCCTGGACGCTCTCCTGGGGACACCGGGGACACCGAGGGGACATTGGGGACATGGCAGGGACAGTGGGGACATGGCAGGGACATTGGGGACACGAGGGGACATTGGGGACATGGCAGGGACAGTGGGGACACGAGGGGACATTGGGGACACTGGGGATGGAGGGGACACAGCAGGGACATGGGGGCAGGAAGCCGTGGATGAGGTTCAGCTTCTCCTGGACGCTCCCCTGGGGACACCGGGGACATTGGGGACACCGAGGGGACACCGTGGGGACATTGGGGACATGGCAGGGACATTGAGGATGGAGGAGACATGGTGGGGACATTGGGGGCAGGAAGCCGTGGATGAGGCTCAGCTTCTCCTGGACGCTCTCCTGGGGACATTGGGGACACCGAGGGGACACCGTGGGGACATTGGGGACATGGCAGGGACACTGGGGACACGAGGGGACACTGGGGACACCGAGCGGACGTGGCAGGGACAATGGCGACAGTGTAGGGACATTGAGGATGGAGGGGACATGGTGGGGACATCGGGGGCAGGAAGCCGTGGATGAGGCTCAGCTTCTCCTGGACACTCTCCTGGGGACACCAGGGACATTGGGGACACCGTGGGGACATTGGGGACACCAGGGACATTGGGGACACCATGGGGACAATGGGGACATGGCAGGGACATTGGGCACACTGGGGATGGAGGGGACAGAGAAGAAGGAAGCAATGGAGGGGACACTGGGGACAAAGTGATGGAGAGGACTGAGGGGACAGCGTGGGGACAGAAAATGGAGGGGACAGCTGGGGACACAGGGGACAGAGGGGACAGCATGGGGACACAAGGGACAGAAGATGAAGGGGACAGCATGGGGACATTGTGGGGCACAGAAGGACTTCCCATGGGGACAAGGTGGGGCACGGAGGGGACACCTCCTGCCAGGACACAGGGACTGCCAGGTGACACCGGGGACATTTTGGACTCACCTTCTCTCCCAGGTGCTCCTCATCCCGCTCCAAGTCCTGCAGCCTGCGGGGCACAGCGGGGTCAGCGGGCGGGGACACCGAGGGAGGGGACAAGGGACACCGGGGGTGGGGACACCGAGGGAGGGGACAAGGGACACCAGGGGTGGCTCCAGAGGGGACAGAGGGACACCGGGGGTGGCTCCAGGGAGGACAAAGGGACACCAGGGGTGGCTCCAGTGGGGACAAAGGGACAGGAGGGGTGGCTCCAGAGGGGACAGAGGGACACCGGGGGTGGCTCCAGGGAGGACAAAGGGACACCAGGGGTGGCTCCAGAGGAAGGGGACAGAGGGACACCAGGGGTGGGGACACCGAGGGAGGGGACAAGGGACACCAGGGGTGGGGACACCGAGGGAGGGGACAAGGGACACCAGGGGTGGGGACACCGAGGGAGGGGACAAGGGACACCGGGGGTGGGGACACCGAGGGAGGGGACAAGGGACACCGGGGGTGGGGACACCGAGGGAGGGGACAAGGGACACCAGGGGTGGCTCCAGAGGGGACAGAGGGACACCAGGGGTGGCTCCAGAGGGGACAAAGGGACACCAGGGGTGGCTCCAGAGGGGACAGAGGGACACCAGGGGTGGCTCCAGAGGGGACAAAGGGACACCAGGGGTGGCTCCAGTGGGGACAAAGGGACAGGAGGGGTGGCTCCAGAGGGGACAGAGGGACACCAAGGGACACCTCCAGTGCCACCGAGAATGTCCCTGTCTGCAGGGATGGGGGGCTGGGACCCCTGGGAATGCTGGATTGGGGACAGAACCCCCAAACTGGGGACAGAACCTCGGGATTGGGGACAGAAACCCCAAACTGGGGACAGGGTCCCAGGACTGGGGTCAGAACCATCAGGATTGGGGACAGGACCCCCAGATTGAGGAAAGAAACCTGGGATCGGGGTCAGGACCCCCGAGATTGGGGTCAGGACCCCCAGATTGGGGACAGGACCTCAGGATTGGGGCCAGAACCATCAAGATTTGGGTCAGGAACCCAGAATTTGGGTCAGAACCCCCAGGATTTGGGACAGGACCCCCAAGGATGGGGTCACGACCCCTGAGATGGGGTCAGAAACCCCAGGATTGGGGTCAGGACCCTGGGATTGGGGTCAGAACCATCAGGATTGGGGTCAGGACCCCAGGATTGGGGTCAGAACCATCAGGATTGGGGTCAGGACCCCAGGATTGGGGTCAGAACCATCAGGATTGGGGTCAGGACCCCAGGATTGGGGTTGGGGGGCTCTGGGGGGGTTTGGGTGGCTCTGGGATGGTTTTGGGGGTGTTTTGGGGGGTTTGGGGTCCCCCGGGTTCAGGGACAGCCACGGGGACAGCGCGGGCACCGCGCCGGAAGTGGGGGAGGGGTTTGGGGCCCCCCTTCCTGCCCTGGGGGGCACAGGAGGGGTTTGGGGTTTTGGGGGGGGACGACAGTGACAATTCCCACCGGGGTCACCCCAAAATGTGCCAGGGCTGGTGGCCCTCAGCCCATCCCGGGGGTCCTCAGCCCATCCCGGGGGTCTCAGCCCATCCCGGGGGTCCTCAGCCCATCCTGGGGGTCTCAGCCCATCCTGGGGGTCCTCAGCCCATCCTGGGGGTCCTCAGCCCATCCTGGGGGTCTCAGCCCATCCTGGTGGCCCTCAGCCCATCACGGGGGTCCTCAGCCCATCCCAGGGGGTCTCAGCCCATCCCGGGGGTCTCAGCCCATCCCGGGGGTCTCAGGCCATCCCGGGAGATGTCACTGACAGGGCTGAGGAGGGGACAGTGCCATGGGGGGTGACATTGCCAAGGCTGAGGGGTCTCAGCCCATCCCAGGGGTCTCAGCCCATCCCGGGGGTCCTCAGCCCATCCCGGGGGTCTCAGCCCTTCCTGGGTGGGCTCTGGGTGTGAGCCCACCCTGAGGGGCTGTGAGGGGTCATGAGGGGCTCTGAGAGCTGTGAGTGCAGTGAGCGTTGTGAGGAGTTCTGAGGGCTGTGAGGGGCTCTGAGAGCTCTGAGGGGCTCAAAGAGCTGTGAGGGGCTCTGAGATCTCTGAAGGCTCTGAGGGGCTCTGAAGTCTGTGAGAGTCTCTGAGAGCTGTGAGGTCTGTGAGGGGCTGTGAGGGCTCCAAAGTCTGTGAGGGGCTGTGATATCTCTGAGAAGCTCTGAGGTCTGTGAGGGGCTTTGAGGGGCTCTGAGGGGCTGTGAGATCTGTGAGGGTCTCTGAGGTCTGTGAGGAGCTCTGAGGTCTGTGAGGGGCTCTGAGGTCTGTGAATTGCTGTGAGGGCTCTCAGAGCTCTGAGGGGCTCTGAAGGCTCTGAGGTTTCTGAGGGGCTCTGAGGTCTGTGAGGGTCCCTAAGGGCCCTGAGCTCTGAAGTCTGTGAGAGTCTCTGAGGGCTGTGACGGGCTCTGAAGGGCTGTGAAAGCTGTGAGGGGCCCTGAGAGCTCTGAAGTCTGTGATGGGCTACGAAGGTCTCTGAGGGCTGTGAGGGGCTCTGGGGTCTGTGAGGGGCTCTGAGAGCTCTGAGGTGTGTGAGGAGCTCTAAGGGCTCCAAAGTCTGTGAGGGGCTCTGAAGGCTCTGAGGGGCTTTGAGGGGCTCTGGGGTCTATGGGGGGCTCTAAAGTCTGTGAGAGGCTCTGATGTCTCTGAGGGTCTTTGAGATCTGTGAGGGTCTCTGAGGTTTCTGAGGGGCTCTGAGGTCTGTGAGGGGCTCTGAGGGCTGTGAGGTCTATGAGGGGCTCTGAAGGCTCTGAGGGGCTCTAAGGGCTCTGAGATCTGTGAGGGTCTCTGAGGTCTGTGAGGAGCTCTGAGGTCTGTGAGGGGCTCTGAGGTCTGTGAATTGCTGTGAGGGGCTCTGAGAGCTCTGAGGGGCTCTGAAGGCTCTGAGGTTTCTGAGGGGCTCTGAGGTCTGTGCGGGTCCCTAAGGGCTCTGGGGTCAGTGAGAGGGGGGCCCTCACTCCCGCCTCACTCCCGTCTCCCGGCCGGGACTCACCGTCGGCGCAGCTCGGCGGGCAGCGGGGCCGGCGGCAGCGGCGCGGCGCGGGCCGGCATCGGGAGCGGGGCGGGGG